GGGTTTGTCCGCAGATCTGGGATCGCGAAACATTAAATGAATGTTCAATTATAAAAAAGAAAAGCAGACACTTAATCCAATACATTTTATTCTTAATCAATGTTTTAAACAAAAATGATGGGATTTCCAACTTTACAAAATATATATTAATTTTTTTACTTCCTCTCTTAAATGTTACAATGTTTGGAAAAAACATAACCATGTAAGAGAAAATATCCTACAAGTTGCAAAGTATTTAAAAATCTATGATCAGTAAATGTTGCAACATCCGGATGACAAAAGTTAATCTTCATTTACAGATTGTTCGCTTTAAATTAGATAAAATATATTTAAAACATTTGTGTCACATATAACACCTTAATCTGATACCGAAAATATTTTAATTACTGATTATTCAAAATTCATTGTAAGCCTGTAATTTATGTTTTTTTCTTTTTTCTGTTGTTGTGATACGTCCATCTCATTTTTTTCAACCGAAAGTCCTTATAAGCTGTGATGTGAACGTAGTTTAACTCTTTCAGCACACACTTCTATTAATTGCTCTCTCTTTTTTAAAAACTGTATTCTACCAGAGCAGTTATTTTATTTTCAATGAAAAAAAAATAAATGGATTTTTCAAACGTGTGTGGTGTAAGTGTCTGAATATTAGCGCCATTTTTAACATTGAATAAATAAGATTGTTTACTGCTATCATTTTTCATGGAAAATTGGCTAACATGATCAAATTTGCTATGTATGTTGGTTTCCAGCAATTTTTTAATCTACAGTCATTTAACATATCAACAGCTAATGAGGAACAATTACAAATTAATTTGCTTAAAAGTGAACTTGATGAAGCAAGTAAATATAAACCTAAACAGGAGAAATAAAATGAGCTAAAGTCGCATCTTCTGTGTCCACATATCATTTAGTATAATATATTAATATACGTGGGATTTAATCCTAGTATAGAAGACGTGAAACCCGACCTTTCTTTAGCGAAATCAGCTCAATATTTTTCAAATGCTTGACGTATCCCATCACATTTGTTTTTATAACGTGCATAAAAACATTCTAGAGAACACTAAAATACATGACAAGGACGAGTGCGATCATATGTATTTTTATAATTATCATTTCTTACTACCATTACAATTATTACGTTCACTCTCAAAGTTGGTAAGCAAACAAACATAACATTATATAAACAAACTTAATCAAAACAAGTCATTTATCAAAATGCTGAATCTACTCTTACTTTAAGTCAAATTTTAGAATCCAGGCGAGTAGACCGCATAAATTCTCCTATTACATATTTAAAAATATTTAATATAATTTTTTTAATGCGGTGGTTGATGAAGAAGAAAAAGTATTTGAGCTTCATTTATATAAAGAAATTAGAACAAAATTGAAGAAACACGAAATAATAACATATAGCTAAGTATTACTATCACTAAAAAATTGTTGATGGTCTAACTTCTCTAATCTAATTAATTCAACTAATTTATTAAAATTTATCAAACATAAGATTAACAGTTAGCCAGAATTAGTCAGAGAAATGCAAGGTTATAATTATATTTCGCAAATAATTATATCAATTATTGATGCACGTTTCAGTAGAGATTATTTATATAATTCTCTGGAAATGTCTAGTTAAAATAAAACAATTTGGTTCCAAGTTATAAAAACAAAATTGATACATTATTGCGTATTATATGTAAAAGCTCCCGCTAGATGCTGTTAGATTGAAACTGAGTTGTTATATTGGCCAAGAATTTGCTATTATTGAAAGTAATCGAATCAAATGCCTTTAAGCACTGGATTACGATAGTAAAACCTAAGATTTGATAGCGATCAAACCGCCATTAAAATTAATAATAAGGTACTCAGATTTTTAAAACAAACTTATATATAAATGCGCATAAATAATAGATAAACGTAATTTAGTAAAAATTCACAAAGCCATTAACTAAAGATATACTAAATTGTGTTTCTGGAATACTTTCCTCGTCAGCTAAATTGAATAAGGCGTTGAAAAAGGTTGTCCGATCATATTGCGATGGAGAAGACCACCGTTAGTAGGTTTCTTTACATAAGGGTAGTTCAGTTGAGGAACGATAAATCGCGGTAATGGGTTGTGCGGTATATGGGAATCTTCTGGACGAGTAGGTGAGAACGCTGAGAAGCAGAAGATACTCTTCTTAAAGGACTTGATTCTAAGACAAATTTCTTTCAGCTATGTAGAACACTTATAATTGCAGTTCACACGACCATCGCCGTACACTGTCCATGGCATTCCAAAAGAATCTAGATCTGAACACATACGAATTGCACTTAAATTTTTACTAGATTAACGCGTTGTAAATGGTGCGTACATGCGCTGCATTGAAGTTTTACCCTGTTTTTGAAAAGCTGGGAACATCCTCCAGTACTTCGAATATACGTTTTTCTCAACGAATATCATTTTGTATTCTAATGCTCAGAATACCAGCAGTTGCCGATTCTTTTCCATTAACCCCACCAAAGGGGAGGGGTTATTCGTCACTATTCATGTGCGCTAGGAAACAGCAGCATTTATGTTGTAGCTAGGTGCCGCATGGTCTCTAGCTGAAAAGGAACGCGTATAAGAAGAAAGGTCCTCCCATCTGCAAATAAGTAAATAGGGTTTGCTGCCACGCACAGGATATCATTAATGAACACCAGGAAGAGAGAGCAAAAGGAACAGACGATCGCGGTGCACTTGCATATAAAGAATATACGTCGATTACGTTTCTTATCAAACACTTGTCTAAAAATCTCGATATAAATCGAGCAAAAGTGCTGGCGGTACCAAATGCAATCAGCTTACAGTCAAGTATATCCTTGGAGATGTTTAGCGCAACAATCTTACTTTCGCGGCGATTTCGAATCCCTCCTCGATAAGATAGGACACTAAGTGACCAATGGATCAAGTTTTGCTCAAGCCATATTGGGCTATTATGGATACTATGTCCAGTGAACGCAACAGTAGTTTTTTAGCAATTCAATTTTTTTTAAATATTGTTACAAAATTCGCTTTTCTAAGATACAGTCCTTATCACTGGACCGTGGATATTTTGTTCAAGGAAAATACACTTCAACGTTTTTTTATTTACAATTATATTCCTTAAATGTAGGATTATTCACAATTTATTTTTGGCAATACTTTCAACTGCTCAACTTAAATATTCTTTTTCTATTGACCCTCCCTTCCACAAATATTCTATTTATATACATTTTTACAAGCATATTACTATACCTAAATTTATGGTTTTATTTTTAATCCCTGCTTGCTTTTCCGCTAATCGTTTTCATCGGCCGGCAGCTGCATGACGCGCCACGAATGTGCATTTGGTTTCTTTTCTCTTTAAGGAATTTATTATTTGGGAAAATGATTTACTGGAATAAACTAGATTTGAGATTTCCGCAATAATATAATCACACGTTTGTGAGCTGAATCACCTAGAATGAACGGGCGCTCATAGTGGTTCAACAATCCTAACGGCGGTGAAAGTTACTTTGACAATAGTATATTGGTGTACGCTAACAACTAAATCTTAAATGTAAACGTAAATTTGATAAAACGCTTGTGGTAACAGTTTTGCGTGAATATATACTTTTACTAGATTTGCTTTTTTATAACTTTTTGAAGTTATTTACCAAACCCTGACGTTGCTTTATAGTTGCATGCTGCTTTTTATAACCAAACTCTTGACTATGTATTAGCGATTTGGTTTCAACTCTTGCATTAGTTTTGGTTAGAAAACCCCTGCATAAAATAAATAAAGTGTCGAGTTAAACTATATGAAAACACCTATACTAATCCAGTCCACGCTTGCTAGGCTTTGGGACAAAATTATTTCAATTACTTACAGGGAGAAAAAAACTGAATATTAAAAGATAACAACATGACTTTCCTTTTCCTTCAGATATTGATTCATGCCATTTTTATTTAAAATAACTTCATGTAATTAACCGCCTCTTGACTTCTGTAAAAATGTAATCCTAGAACACCAATTTTTAGCCAATTTTCCATGGAGAGCTACTATTAGTTCATCAATAACACGACTCATCTTGGAAAATAGGGTCATTGAGAGTTTGTGAGGTATTGAAATAAACCAATGATCTGCGATGGTAAGCTCACATTACCATTTTTGGGGATTACAAGATCATTCAATTTTTCTCTCAATAAATTGATTGTAACAGAAGCTATTTGGTATGTGGTACTTTTTTGTTAAAACCACATATCGTCCAAGTCGAAATCATCATGATGCTTCTGTAAGTTCTGCATTAAGGGTAACTGAAAAGTGATATTTTCCCTCCGCAAACCACGCCCAAAAATTATTTTTGCACACGTAAAAGTCCTGCAGGAACATCGGATGTGTTTTCTTTACACCACAGGGGTAATGAACCTTATTTACGAAATGAATATTTATAATTCATTTCATTCAATAAATTAGCTTTATCTCACAGGAACAAAACGTAACCGTGGGTTAATTGTTTTCGTTTAAACAATTTCTCAACACTGTGAACGCATTGTATTTCATAAATAATGGCAAAGTCCAAGCAATAGTAAAGACAAAAATTTACAACAAACGGAGGGAGATGTCCTTGCCGAAGATGAGCTCCCAAAACGTTTTCTAAAATAAAATAAAATTATACATTTGCATGATATGATGATGCGCATATCAATTATTTATCAGTTATATATATTTTGTTTAATTTACGCAATAAATGCTCCAGAGCTCAGTCTGGGCTGGAAATTTTGCCAAACCAGGTTTCACGTCGTTTGACTGTAGGTGTTCAGCTATAGCTAAGATAATCTTTTAGAAGTCGACCCTCCATCATAAAGCCAGCAAACCGATGAAACTACTGCCAGTTGTGTGTGGGGCAATATTTCTTTCTAAAAAATATTTCCAAAGACGCCTCTTAATAGTAATGCAAAAACAATTTTTACTATGGTTTTAAAAACTACATATTCTTATATATTTTTATTATTATAGGCGAGCGACCATATAAATGCCACTTGCCTGACTGTGGCAGAGCCTTCATACAATTATCGAATTTGCAGCAGCATTTAAGGAATCATGACGCTCAAGTGGAGAGAGCCAAAAACCGTCCGTTTCACTGCAATATTTGTGGCAAAGGTTTTGCTACTGAATCCAGTCTCAGGACTCATACATCCAAGGTCAGTACTCGCCATTTAGGCACAATATCTTTAAAAAGCTTCAAAAGGCATGTTAGTACCATCATAACCCCCATTTTTCTTCTTAATAAGGCTTGAATTTCCAATTTTATTATGCGTTTGGTTTTCACTCTAACAAATTTTTTTTTAAATCCAAATCTTTCTTTGCTTTGTTCCTTATTCTTGCTACCGGTGCGGTTTAAAAATATTAAATAAATTATAAAAACCAAATTGAAAAAATTAAACCTGAAACCCTCCCTAAAAAAACATATATTAAATAACAATAAATTAAAAATAATGAAAAACAGGAGCTACAGCTGCATCTTGGTGTCTTGCAGCAGCATGCGGCATTGATTGGTGGACCTAATGCAACCTCATGTCCCATCTGTCACAAACTTTTTTTAGGCACTGATGCTTTAATGGAGCATATGAAACATGTACACAAGGAGAAACCTAATCAAAATACGAACAGTAAGTTTATTCTTTATCAAAAATATATAAACAAAAAACAGGCCTTATGTCTCTTCTTTGCATATTTGCTTTCTTGCCACATTACTGTTGCTCAAATGATTTAAGAAAACTCATGAAACCTGAATTGAATAAACCGTTTGATTTCATTCAGTTATTTGTGTAGGCTGAAAGAATATTTAAACTGTCTTTTGTTTTCTTCTACTATTTTATTCTTTTCAAACCGTAGGCTCCTTTATTGATAACATAGGAAGTGGGGTTGTCACTTGTGTGAGCAATGGTGTAAACGTAGGCACGTGTGCTGGTAGTGCAGCGGCTGACACCGGCGTCTGCTTACAATCTTCGGGTCCTTCTTCTGTCTGCAGTGATCCTTATTCAACGAAGCGGCGCACCGCTAATAACCCGTGCCCGGTGTGTGGAAAACATTATGTGAATGAAGGTTCTTTGCGTAAGCACCTAGCTTGCCATGCAGAAACGAGTCAACTAACAAATAGTTTGCGAATGTGGCCGTGTTCTGTTTGTCAAGCGGTTTTTACACACGAAAATGGTAAGACCGGAAAACGCTTAGATCTATGGTTTCATATCAAAGAAATTGCAACTTGTTTTATTTCTGGATGCTTGCTCCATTTAAATTTCCTTCTCCTTTTTTCCACATTTTTAAAGGTCTGCTTACACATATGGAGCACATGCGAATGGATCCTAAGCACCAATTTGCCGCCCAATATGTACTCTCTCGCGCAGCAGCTGAAAGGCGTGAACGTGGTTCATTATTGGCGGTTACTTTGGCGGCTTCAGCCGGAACGGGAGCTGCAGGAACCAGCGGATTTATGCCTTTATTAAGTGGAGAAATTGGTAGTCATAGAGTGATTAACGTTGGTGGTGATGGTGATGGTGGTGGTGATATTTCAAATTCTCTGTGTCCTTCTCCATCTGCACATTCTGATTGCTCTTCCAATGGAAGGCCATCATCATCGACCACTTCCGATCAATGTAGCGGAATTAACTTGTTAACCAACAATAATGATAACAGCATGAATAATAATAATCATAATAACAACAACATCAACAATAATAATAATGACAATTGTAATACGAACGGCAGCAATTTAAATCTAGGTGACAAATTAAGTGACATATTACGCACCACCAACAATTCTAACAGTCATGCCCCTGCTCAACATCATCCTCACCATAGCTCTCAGCCTCATCACCATACGCATAATCTCAATAACCATTCTTACAATAATGTTAGCGTAAGCATTGAAGGAGAACTGCACGATGTCGCCAATCGTATGAGTCTAATGGCGGCAGCGTCGGCAGCTGCTGCCGCTGTTGCCGCTAGCACAAGCACAAATGCTTTGCCGAGGGTACCATCTTCTCCACAAGATTTTTCCGTTGAAACGGTTAACACAGCACAGGTTAACGGAAACGTTGCGGTTCAAGCAGCCGTTGTAAATCTAGCGACTGCTATGCGAATCAATCATGTCAACAATAATGGCGTCAACAGTGGAGCAACAAATATGAACAACAATAATATGCTAGTGAACCACAGTAACAGGAATCAACAGCAACAACCGCAGCAGCAGCAGAGCCTTCAACAACAACAGCATCAACAAACAACCGAGCAGACGCCTTCAGAACGCCGAACTTCACCTTTACATAATTTAGTAACCGACAATGCACCTATTGCAACTAGTATGATTCGCAATTCTATGTTAGACAATTCTGCTGAACTTCGAAATAACAACCATCCACACCAACAACGACAAGAGGAAAATCATGATCAACAAAAACAGACTCACAATAGAGCCAATTATAGCTCATCCATTCTTCCAGCTCCTTTACCCGCTGCTCTTGGCAACACAAACACGCACCAATCACATCATCACTTTGCGCACCAAACCTTAAATACGCCAAATCATCATCTTCAGCACCATCTAGAATCTACGCACACACCCCAGACAACGACCCAGCATTCACCGCAGACATCTATACACATGCAACAACAGGCTGAAGCGATGTTACGCTCACATACTGAGGTTGCCTTTCGTTTAGCGGCTGGTGTTGCTGTTTCAAGTAGCAACAATCAAAATAGTGGACCCATCGGTAACAACAATAATAATTGTAGTACTAACTTAGGTCAGTTATCTAATAATAACAACAATGACGATGACATGAATGGTAAGGTAGAAACCAGTCCGCGTATCCTAACGAGCACCAACGCAAGTGCAGCAACGGGTTGTAGTGATATCAGCGCTTCGAATCGTGATCCCACCCTCCAAGCACCAAAAATAGAATCTATTGCACCCGCCAGCGACATTAGTGGAACCGTACGCCTGCAGGAACATCGTATTGAACAAGCTTTGCGTTTACGTAGTGATGCACGGACTTTCAACTTCCTCTCAGGCAATCGTCAGCAGACCGCTGCTATCAATTCTAATACATCAAAACCGCAGCAACAAAATTAGTAAATGTAAGAGGAAACAAAACATATAAAAGGAACACTACAATTAGATAAGTCATGGGAGCGAGTCATTCACTTCTATTAGAATGTTTCATGTTTGCTACTATAATGGGAACATTTTTGAATATTTGCTTTAAAACATTTTAGTGCCAAAAAAAAAGAAACAAAAATATATATAAACCATTTGGTAAAATGAAAATAGACCAGGCACGATGACATTGGCATCGATAAGAAAAAAGCGAGCAGAAGTTCTGGCACGAAAGTGGAGCGTATGAGAATTTTATGGAGATCGATTTCCAATATTTCAGCGAAGAAGATCGGATACTTCCTTTTTCCCATACTTTATTTTCTTTTTCCGCTTTGAATACGTGTTTTTGTCCGATATATTATTTCTTACATTTGATGTTCGTTTCTTTCCCCAAGAGTACGTCTGGTTACTATGTTTGTAATAAAAACAAATACTTACAAGGCGGGGCATTGTGATTGTAGCCACGTGAGGCAGGTTAAGACAAGTGCAAAGACATTTTGTAAACGTGCTCTATAAATTAGTACTACATAAGTCAATGTCAATGCAATATATTCTATTACTTCGTTTTCAAACAATGTTCTCGATCTCATATTTAGCGGGAACTCCTTCCTGCAATCTACACGCTCCGTCTTGCACGAAATAAAAGTATAGAATTATGTTTCTGTGTAAAATAAGCGCAGCCAAACATTTCGCACATAGATTCCCATATGTTTAATAGATGTTTCATTCCGAGAAAGATTAATATTAAACAATAAAATAACAATAAATATTAAAAACGTATATTAACAAGATGTCGATTGCGTCAATATATTTCAGCCAAGGTTATGATCGAATTTTTCAATACAACATAAGAACGTGTATATACGTAAATATTGTCATAAATATTATTATCAGTTCACACGCCAACATACGTTTTTACTTTATGTGTAACGCATTTACCTCACCTAAATAACTACAGTATGTTTCTAAATCAAAATGCTCCGTCTTCAAAATATATTATTTTGTGAAAATACAGTAAGTAAATATAACTATACAACGGATGTCGTCTCACATGTCGCGCATGTCGAGAAAAGGAGATATATAGTAATAATACGTAATCATTCGTAATAATTTACAAACTTATAAAATTTGAAACGATTGCAATATAAATTAAGTCTGACATGATAGGGTCACATAATGATATCCAAAGAAAAAAAATTAAAATTATATTGGAATAATAAGAGAAAATTAGTTTTGATCTATGTTAAATTTTGAAATATGAACGACGAATTATTAAAAACATTTAGCAAATTTTAACCGAAATAGTAATTACATTTATGTAAAAAAATTAGAAATAAATAAAACAATAAAAAACAAAAAAGTATTACAAATATTTGATAGCCACAAAAATAAAACCACACTCTGATAATAACAATAATAAACTTAACAAGCAACAGAAATCGTAGATAAAGTCAAAAGAGAAAAGTTTTGTTGAAAAAATAATACCAAAAACACATGCAAAAAATATTGGTTTTTATACTTAAGTGCGCTTCCTAAAGATGGGAAATTTGAAAAATACTTTACAACCTACGATCAAGTTTTTTTTATAAAACAAAGACGTTTCTGAATCGTCTGAATCCTTCTTAAAAAGCACACTCTGTTATTCTTCTGATCGATCTTCAACGAAAATGTTTTTAATATTTCATAATTAGAACTTTTGCAACATATTTATTTATAATTTTAAATAAAAAATGCTCATCGTTTTCAGTCTACGTATAATAACTACGTAAGCTTACTGGTTAAAATGAAAAACATCAAAATTCCATGTTGCTTATATTGCTCAGTAATGTCGTGCCTTTTAGGATTTTCTGCCATTATCGAATAACAAACAAACATGGATCTGAGTTTCCCTGGCCTTCTATATTAATGATCTAGACATTCGTTCACTTAGAACGCAAGTTCTAAGAGTGATGTACAATAGGCTGATCATAACAGTTTCGTTAAGTCACATACTTTGATGGTTTAAATAGTGGGACACATTTGCAGGTCAGTTTAAGCTTTTACATCAGATGAACTTTATTAGTATGGTGATCATCTTTAGAGAATATAAATGACCAATCTAAGATTTGTACCTTTTTGCGAAGGCGAACTTTTGAACAATAAAAGATTGATAGCTACGCTATTACAAAAACACTGCTAATTCGGATTTAACTTTTACATTAATCAAAAGTGTGGCCCTCTGAAGTGTATTTTCAAATATTACAACCAGAACCATAAATCTTGTATATTCTTACGTTTTTATGGCAGGTACAGCAATTACGCAACGTTGACATGTTTATGAGCGCTTTTAAAAATTTCGATCCAAAATGACCTCAAAGTTTACAGCCGTAGCGCAGTCAAAAAGATGTGTAAAATAACTCTGATGGATTGCAAAACCAATATCAAGCTAATTGTGTCTTCGTATTTAAAAATGAAAGCAGTGAAAGACTGAATTGTTGTTTAAAGAACGAAATTTTTAGGGTCGTCGAAAGTCAAATAAGGATCTGAACCTTAGCATTTCTATTTAACATTATTGAAGAACGTAACGAAATAGCAGAGCGTATTGAGACGATTATGTGCATTTATTTATAATAAATTTTTTTATTCATTTTTAAGGGCATATTCACGATGTTACCTTATTACGTTATTTATACATTTCAGTTCTTTCGGCTCCTGCTTGCTTCACCGTCCCATAGATATAAACCTCTTTGCTCGAAAAAATTTAACGAATAAGGGAGAGTTGCAAACCAATTTATAATGTATCGCAATCGCTCCTTACTCAACAATAAGCATATACAAAACGTCTTAACCCAGAACCGAAACACTATAGTTGGCCGAGGCCGGCACGAGCTACCGCATAAAGTTGGCTCAAGAAAGCCAAATATTTATTCAATTCTCAATACGGTAGACCTTATTGTAATCACGATTGGTGTGTGCTTATAGCTGCAGCGGGTGCTGGGTGGCTGTAGTGATTTACATATCGGGCACACGCCTCTCAAGCTACGATCTCTCCATATCCCTTTCTCCCCAGCTATTTCTGGTTATCTCACCATAATGCATATGTAGGCAACATTCCCTGAAGAATCGGTCATTAAAAGAAAATAGAGCTTGCCATTAAGTACTATCTGTCATTTCATCCACTATAATCTAAGGTTAGAAATTTAATAAAAATTAAAAATTTTAGTTTCACAAGGAAGGTGGTCCAACACTATAAATTTAACTGCAAATTTACATATAAAAACACTGTTCTGAACTAAATTTCATTGTATCATACTAAATAACCAAGTAAATGCCTAATTTTTTTCTAGAAACAATTGTATAGAAGAGTGTTCAGAAAATGAACCCATTCCGTTACAATTTTGCACGTTGGCTTAGTACTCTAATATATTTTTTTTGTGGAGAAATATGAAAAATGTCAAAACTTTTTCAGACATACCAAATTTTTAAAAAAGCAATGATCACTTAAATTGTCCAGCCCAATGCTTTTTCAATATTTCAAAACATTGTTACCTGTACGCTGAGCACATAAAACACGTAAGCACATTTGACACCCATAAATAGACAGGGAAACAGGCTAAAATCAAATTGAAAACAAAAATGGGCTCATTTCAAGCCGTTTTTGCATAGAAGAGTTAACTCTTCTCAATAGTGAATTGCATTTGGTATTTCTCCAAAAGCTGATTTTGTAAAATGTGAATGGAGTTTCAATTCAATGTCATAGTTTTATGGCTTCTAAGTCGACCTATAACTTATAATTTACAAACTCAGTCCCCATATGCTTGTTATATTTGACTTCTCTGTACTTATCCATCTTTTTCGAAGCCTCTACAGTTAAAGCCTAATTTCAATAGGAAGTTTAGAACACTTCTTGCTTAAGGACTGATCAAAAGAATATGAAAAAAGGAAGTAATCATTTTGGAAAGACCCAATAAGTATTATAATGAATGGACCATATCCGACTTCTGTCGATGAATATAAAATTTACCGAATTATTGCTATATGCTTTATGTACATCTTTGTAATAGTATGGAACAGTACCTAGAACATTTGACAAGTGTAAAGAAAAGTCGAAACCTACCTTTTGATCAAGAGCATGTATTCTATTGCGATTTCTTAGGTAAATGTGTAAGCATTACAAATATTTTTAAAAACCTAAAATACATGGCATGGAAATACTAAAATGATCTACAGTTGAAGTATAAGGTAAGAACGTTAAGTTACTTCAGTAAATAATCCAAAACGATGTCCAATGAGACTGCGCACTCCATTATGAACTAAGAAATAATGTCAAATGTATATATTTTACGCTACATTCGTTCTCCAAATGTTATGTATCTTCCTACGTCTATTCTTTCGTTTGTTTATACAACAACAGCGTCCAATAGTTTATCGAGGAGTTGGCACTATGGCTTCTTCTCATGTTACATTTCACAAAGAATAAAATTCAAGAAGTCACACTTTATAAATATCCCGTTGCAGACTTTATTTAAAGTAATCAAAATCTATCAGCAACCTTTCGCCACAAAGATAAAAACGTAATGGAGGACAGCATTAAAATTAATTTAAAAAAAACAAGAGCCGAGTTCACTTCAGTCAAATAGTCCTTGATCCCATATGTGATGGTTTCGAAACCATCAAGACGTTGATATCAAAAAAAATCATTCTGCCAGACGAGAAGGTATAAAAAAGAAAGACAGGTTTTATTCTCCCTAAGCAAAATCGTATTGTTGAATTAGATATTTTCTAAAGATAACAGACAAGTTTCAGCCAGAACTCTTAGTTTTTGTATAGTCAATACACTTTAGTCTCTCTTGCATCGCTTTTGCATTTTTTATGGAAAATCAGGTTACAAACATAAATTAATATCTATATCTTCTTATTCACACATACATAATACAAAAACTAAACAGAATCATTTGCATTAGATAAGTATGTATTACAATATGAGTTAGATGTATTAGAGAACAATAAGCCTAAGACGTACAAGAAATGAATGTAAAAATGGACAGAACAAATTTGTATAAAAGAAAAGCAATCTTATGTATACATATGTAAATATGCATATATAACTAAAAATAAATAACGAAAAAATAAAAACGATTGATAATTTAACAGATTATCCCTAACATACTTAACAAGATCAAATATGAAATTTACGTGTTTTATTTGAAAAGTGCTCTTCATTGTCTTAATTTCTAAATGGTATGGTGGAGCGGCAGAATAACTAAAATATTGAAAACATCGATGCGAATAAGAGATATACTTTTACTTCGGTTAGTGGAAAAATATTTGTAAACATTTAGTGTTCGAACAAGTGGAACCATAAATGTATACACAAACATTTTTCATCCCCCTATCTCTTTCATAGAGCATAGAAAAATTAGAAAGAAAGTCATACAAAACTAGCGTCTGACCTCTGGCCAGTAGAATCGTACTGCAAAACAGCGGTGATTATTGATATCGAATAATATAAGTTAATGATTAGCAACTGTATTTTGGCATTGTTATCGTTCAACTATCACAAAATTTGTGCTCGTGTTCGACTGTCACAGTTTCTTGCCCTTTGCATCAAATATCATATTCTAAAGCAAAACTCTCTTATATCAATTTGGCGCTAAAAAACCATAGAATGCAATACAAAAAAACTTAAAGTAGCCTTACAAAGTGGCGCAAATTTTTAAATAAAGTAATGAAACAAATTATGTGTTTAACGTTTGCATAAAAATATTGCAAATTTTGATTCCACTTTTTATACAATTTTCTTTTATATTTTCTTTTAATTTTTAAAAATTTTCTCTTTATATACTGTTTCACCATGCTCTGTCATTATATGAAGTGCTCAAAGAGCTACAGAAGATTTATTCTGCATACATTTTCTAGGCTGCGGCCACTATCTCCCTGTCTTTCTTTATCTGTCCTCATTTTTCTCATTTCATAGGAGACATCCCCAGAGTGATTGCTCATATCAAAAAAAAAAAAAAAAAAAAAAAAATGATTAAAAGATCACAAACCAATTACTTTTACCAACCACCCGGTTAACTATGCTTTACATTTTTGGTATTCTAACATATAACCGCAAGTGTGAGGACTACGAAAACATGACATGATTTGTGATCTACTTTACAGCAGGTCAAGGTGCATTGCAAAACCTTTAAAAATTTTAAAAAAATTATGCCATAAAAATGCGTAATAATAAAGAACAATGTTTTTAGGTGATTTTATGAAAATGTGTCCGAACGGGCATACTCTAATACTTGGACCTTTATCTGCCCTACCTGTTGATCGAAGAATTTAATTGCACCGTCGTTTTTTTTAAATATATTTGTTTCATCTTTCCACTTTTTTATTAATTAATAATTCTACAAAAAAAAAAACTAAATAATATACTTCCTAATCAAATATGCAAACAGAAAATTCGCTAAATTTAACGCTTATTGCTAAATAGTAATAATAATATATAAACAAAAAAAAAAAAAAATGGTTGTTTGCTGTATTTACCGCAACACAATCTTTAATTTATAAAGAAAAATGTATAAAGCCATACAATTCAAGTCATCCAGATGCAAGCAATGATTGT